AGGTCATCAACCTTCTCTGGAGGACTTATTCAGCTCTGGCTGCCTCAGTAGAGCAGCAGACATTCTTCAGGACCAGTCCCATCCTGGACACCATCTGTTGGACCCAGTACCGTCAGACAGACGCTTCAGGTCCATCAAATCACAGACGAACACACAGAAGAACAGCTTCTACCCTGGAGCTGGAAGAGACCTGGATCCTGTCAGACACTGACTGGACCTGAGGACCTACGAGCAGCTCAACTACTGTTTATGCATTTGTATTTATTTACTAAGCATGAAGAGGTTACTGGCTATTTTAAATGCCAGTTTATCATAACAATCAAAGAAATCTATTCTGTTCTAACAAACATCTGCCATCTAATGGTTCTGAAGTTTCACTTTGAAATCATGCTGTTTTTTATTTCTTTTAGATAGAAGGAGGCTGTCTAATGAAGCACCAAACAATGGCTGCTCCCAGCTGCTCCCTCAGGTGTCTGAGTGCAGGAGGACAGGCCCAGCTGACCTGTTCACAGAACCGAGCCCTGACCTGGGTCCTAGTGCCGTCTCTGCTGTTACCTTCCACACCAGTACATCAAGTACAAGCAACACAACCCACACAAACCTCAAACTCAAGCATTCCTGGAAAATGTGAAGGCTGCAAAACAAGTCTTTCTCCCCTCAGAGGGAGTTTAAAGGTATCTGCTTCTTGCTCTGAAATCCTTTGTTGTTGTGACACAAAGCCAAGCTTGTTTTTAGTGACCTCAGAGACTGTGCAGCAGAGATAGACAATCCTGCTTAAGCTGAGAGGGCTGGGGAGGGCTTAGGAAGCAGGCTAGGGACAGGAGGAAGGGTCGCAGATGGGATCTCCGATGGGATAATTAACATGTGTCCCAAATCCTCCCTGACTCTTCTATCTAATCCAGATAGGAAGAGAAAACACAGAGACATGTCCAATTACGTTCAGAACTTTCTTTTCTTTTTAACCTTTTCTTCTCTCTCTGCCACTCGCTCCTTACTGCTCGCTATCCCATTTGCAGTCAAGGTTTAGTCGGTCTGAACTGGAATCAGTGCTGACTGAAGTGTTGGTATGCATTCACTGATGTCTGCATGTACTCTACAGGACTTTATAGGAACTGGACATGAATGTTTGAGCTGAACAGAGTCAGTCAGAGTGACTAGAATGAAGAAGGCTTTAAAGGATAGTTGGTTTGTTGGATGTATTGTCGATGGTGATTGAGCCCCATCATCATCATCATCATCATCATCATCATCATCATTTAACAGGTGGTCCACGAGCTGCACAGAAACATTTGCTGAGCTTCACTGAACTGAGCAACGTTACGTCTTTTCTGTCTCTACTGCACTTTGCTGTAGTGATCAGTGATGACTTCTGCCATTTGCTCGAGTGCAACCTGTTTTATTTCTATTTATTTTCTGCCATGTATGCAGACGCTTAGCTTCATTTCACACAAACATTTGTCCAAAGCTTTGCAGCCATTCTGAGCATTTTGCTTTACATGCAGTGAAAAAGGTGAAAACTCTGAAGTTATGTTTCTTATCATCAACGCAAACAGCTGACTGCTTTGCTTTTCCTTTAACAGCTCTGACTGATGTGTTCACCTGGTGAAACATCAGATGATGATTAGTTTTAACATCCACCAGTAACTTGACAGAAGGCGAAGATGAAAACTGGATGTATTGGTGGACTCCATGTAGCCGGAGTCTGTTCAGCCGAAATAGGATAAAAGCAGCATCACTGTCCGAGTCCAGACAACCACCAGGGTTTCTGGAGTCCAACACCTCAAACAAGCGAGACGTCTGCTCTCCAGCTGATCGCGTCACATCCGGATTCCTAAAAGAACTATCCGTCCATTTTAATGTTCTGGTGATCACATCCAAAAGAAGTTTAGCAGCATAATTAGATCAAGTATAATCCACATAGACATCATCACAGCTTCCTTCATCCATCCATCATCTCTACACCTTAGTCCTCACTATGGGGGGCGGAGTCTATCCCAGCTGACTCAGGGTGAAGGCAGGTTCACCTGGACAGGTAACCAGTCTATCACAGGG